AAGCTTCAAAATCAACCTGCAAAACTAGCCTGTAGGCCAATAAAAACAAATAAAACATCTTCGTTTTAAAGATCTTAAATTCGCCTTTTGCAGCTGCTTTTTGCTGGAGGTTTCTTCTTATTCAAAGGGAGTTTTTCCTCTCCACTGTCGCTACAAGCATGCTTAGAGTGAGGGATTGCCTTTGAGTCAATGAGTCGATGCAATCAACTGGTTTTCCTTAGAGGGAAAACTTTTAATCAATGTGATTAGATGATCTGGTTGAACTGTAAAGTGCCTTGAGATGATATGTGTTGTGAATTAGCACTATAGAAATAAACTAATCATGTAAAAATTATTTATCCTTTTATTTCTTGTTACTCTAGTTTATTTTTTATATCCTTTACTCCTGCAGTAACATGGAACCAGTAAAACAGGATTTGCTCCTTATTGATTGGATGCTCCTAATGTTGTCTTTCATCATCTTTAAGGAATGCAGACATACAAAACATAAAATGTTTATATTTGTTTTGATCGGTGAAGAAGATAAAATGTTAGCTTGTATTGCATAAAGAGCTGAGCTGAGAGCAGAATGAAGCGTTTCTGTCGGTACCTCCTACACATCTGAGCTGGGTTTCACACTCCTCTTCATCGGCCAGCAGGTACGATCGCCGTCATGTTCTCTGTCTCAGTTATTCTGGGTCTCTAATCTAAAATAATCTAAAATGTCACAAGAGGAAGTTTGTGCCTCAGGAGAAATCTCTGTTCCAGAGTTCAGACTCAAAGGTTCAGAGGAGGGAACCATCTGGCTGGATTGTCCTACAGCCGTTAGCTCTGAATCCATTAGAAGCTTCTGTCAGTGAGTCAGTCTAGACTGGCTTCACTTTCCACCCTGTGATCAAGATGCTGTATTTTACTCTCTGACTGAATGTAGGTTAAACGCTGAAGGTGTGTCCTCAACTGATAAGCTGCGGAGAGACGTCTGGTTTAATGTTTTCCTCGTAGAGGTACGGTAGCATGTTGGATCAGTTCCTGGTTATCAGAACAAAAGCTGAGAGATAAATCCAAAGGAATAGAAAAAAAGGTTCTCAGTAAATAACAAGATTATCCAAAAAGGTTTCATTCATTACCTTATTCATTTTATGCATTAACCATTTCTGAAACTACATCAATCTAGCAAAGATTTATAATCTCTGCTTTTGTTTATTTTGATTATAGTTTCTTACACAGGGTTCCTACAGCATAAGGAGAGTTAAATTCTAGACTTTTTAATGCCACTTAAAATAAAAATTTAAGACCAAATTCACAAGAAACACAAGAAAAACCTGCTTGCAACAACTTAACCCAAAGGTTTATTTTAACATAAACCACTGCACTAATGTTTCAAATATTGAAAAGCTTCCCATACAGGAAGAAAGCTACAAACACACAAATGACAGATATATTTTAACAATTATTTAACTGAATTCACAAACTTTGTTTTAGCAGGGAACAAAACAAATCAGTTTTAAAGCCCCAACATAACCAGTGCTAAGTCTTTTTTGCAGCTATTTTTCTTTGTATGGTTTTCTTAGTATGTTTGATTTGGTGATAAGTGGAGGCGTTGCAGAGACAAGGGTGGAACTAAACTGAGAAATACCGGCTGTTTCTCTGTAACTCCATTTTGACGCTTTGTGTTTCGCGCTTCGTATGTGACGCCACTGTCTTAATTCCCATCGTTCGGAGCTTGAATGACTTGGAGAAAATGAAGAATGCCATGGAGAAAACTCTTGGCTGGATAGCTAACTTTGGTAACATTTACACTTGCTCATATTTTCCAGACAAAATGTTAATGGTGCAGCTCCCAAATGTCCCGGCCGCAACAACGCTTTTATTGGTTCCGCTGTCGGGACGGAACCAATAATGGCGAGCCGTTATTTAAAAAAACAAAATGTCAATTTTTTCGTTTTATTTAGATTGCAAAAATAAATCGTAATAAAAATAATCCTATTTATGATGTTTTAAAAATTAAGACCTACGAAGGATTGATTTAAGACGTTTTAATACCAATTAAGGCCTTAGTTTTATTTTGAAGAATTCAATGCCTTTTATGACTTTTTAAGGACCCGCGGGAACCCTGTTACAGCTAATAGAACAAATCAATAAAATGATTTTAATGCAGAAATGTTCTGGTCGATGCATTCATGTGGAAGAGTTTGGGCTCTGTTGGGTTTTTTTCAAGCATTTTAATCGAGGATTTAGGGGAAGAAAAAAAGGTAAACGAGGAACAGGCAGAACAGGTTTGTAGGTCAATCAGGAGTTTGGTGGAAGACTGTTGTCTGGTAACTCCTGAGCTCAGGAGAATCAGAACCGGACTGATGTTTGGTCCAAAGTGCTCTTGTCAGGTTATAGTAACGTTTTTATTTGGAAATCAAGGTCCCAGAGTCTAGAAGAAGAGTATAGAAGCTAAGTTCCTTAGTGGTGGCCCACATTGCCTTCAGTAACAGCACCTAAATGGCATGGAGAGAGATTCTATGGACTGTTGTCTGAAGAAGACGAAAACTGCAATACAGACAAGCTTAAGGCACCCTGGACTTCCCAAACATCTAAGCAGAACCACAGGCTGATCTCCTCCATGTTGCATTCATGCAGGAACGTATGCATTAAGTTAATGCATTAACTTAAACCACTAGTGACTACAGAAACTGAACAGCAGACGGACATCCAGCTCAACAGGAGCACATATCTGGCTTAGATTCTCTCATGACTGATATATTAGGAAAATAATTCACTCTGTGAATCTGTGGCTATGGTTTGTCCTTAATGCTTGTGAGGATTCTCAGTCGTCATGGTCATACCAAAAATTTTTTTTTAAACTATCCGCTGGACTTTGTTTCCAAGTTTGAAAACATTTCGCTTCGCATCCAGGAAGCTTTTTCAATTCAAAATGTCAGAAAAAGTTTTGGGTTCGAGGCTTTATACAGCAGCCCAACAAAGCCTTGCTTCAATTTGCATGTTTTATAAGCCAAAACAAGGCTTAGTTGGGCTTAATGTGGACAAAATCATGGACATCTGCTGATTAACTAACTGTTCATGATTGCTGTATCCAATCAAATTAAAGTAAATGTGAATAGAAGGACACAGTGTGGAAAAGGTGCAGCCCTTCACTGTGAGTCTCTCTACTGAGGCTGACTGAGCATTCAAGGAGAGAAAAGCAGACAGAAAAGGAACAAGTATTGATCTGTACATACTTTCTATGTTAGAAAAAGTAATGGTAAACTTGCTCCACATGTGGTTGTCTAGGAAACAAACTGTTAAGCAGAAAAGCTCTTGTTTCCATTTAAAAAAGGAACAAGGAGACTACAAACAGTTGGTTATAGTAGAAGCTGAGCCTATAGCTATGTCCCGGAGAGATACAAGACTAATCAGGATGATGTAAAGTGGTCCCTATGTCCTCCAGCAGCCTAACCCTATAACAGCATAACTATAGACATAAGTATAGTCAGGATAACCTGAGCCACTCTAACTTAAAGGAATAGTACACCCAAAACATGATTACCGGTAGCCTTCATTTTCTACTCACCCCCATGCTGAACAACACTCTGGAGTACTTTTTTGATATCTCAAATGCATCTGGAGATCTGGGAGGCTTCTTGCTGTCTGCTGACATTCAAATAATGGAGGTCTATGGCGCCCGAGGCAGAAAGGTCCATAAAAGTCCACAAAAAACGTGTCAATATTCCTCCATACTGCTTGTCCAATGTATTCCAAGTGTCCTGAGTGGGTAGCGTCCAGAATTTACTCGAAACTAAGTCATTTAGAATGTTTTTAGAGCATAAACAGTAGTGTATAGGATTTCCTGAAAGCGCGTTCACGACGCTACGGAAACCGCGGCAGACCAAACCAGACGAAAGTGCGCATTCAGCTCGGCAAAGAACTCATGCTCTTCCTCAACACTGAAGTCCTCAGACATTTTTCTTTCGTTGTTTCTTTCTTTGCACAGGTAAACAGCACATTTCTTCTTCTACGCTTGCATTATTGGCAGAGCAGACGCTGAATGCGCACTTTCATCTGGTTTGGTCTGCCGGCTTCCGTAGCGTCGTGAACTCGCAGGCGCGCGCCTTCAGGAAATCCTATACACTACTGTTTATGCTCTAAAAACATTCTAAATGACTTCGTTTCGAGTAAATTATGGACGCTACCCACTCAGGACACTTGGAATACATTGGACGAGCAGTATGGAGGAATATTGACACGTTTTTTTGTGGACTTTTATGGACCTTTCTGCCTCGGGCGCCATAGACCTCCATTATTTGAATGTCAGCAGACAGCAAGAAGCCTCCCAGATCTCCAGATGCATTTGAGATATCAAAAAAGTACTCCAGAGTGTTGTTCAGCATGGGGGTGAGTAGAAAATGAAGGCTAATCATGTTTTGGGTGTACTATTCCTTTAAAGCTTTATCAAAAAGGAAAGTTTCCAGCCTAATGGACTAGAAGTGGTTGGTTCCACGAGAGAGGAGAAGATAACTAAAAGATCTGCCTCCCATTCTACTTTTAGAAATTCTAGGATCCATATTAAACCTGCAGAATGTGATTGAGTGAACATAAGGAACAATCAGGTCTCTGATTAGAAATGAATAGGACTTTAAAGACTATTTTGATTTGTATTCCTTAAAATTTTTTCATTATTATGTAGATAGAGCCCAAGATAAACCGCAACGCAAACATTTTATCTTCATAATTTTGTTTTTGTTTTTCCCACACATTATCCCATATTGCATACTTAATCCTATGAAGCGGGGGATTGAGATAAGGTCAGAAGCAACAGAAATGGAGAACCTGTGGATCCTATTGAGAACCTTCATGGTTCTTCTCCTCTGCAGCACCTGAGCGACTTTAGTCGGACTCTGCAGCACCTGATCATTGGATTTTCTCTCAGTTTTTCCACCAGCCTGAGGCTTCGATCGAGGACAAAGAATGCCCATCCTCCACAGCAGCCCCTCACTGTGTCGATCACTCCGCCTGCGCGCGCCCTCATTGGCTGCGTGGAAGTGTTCACGTGAAGTCTGCGTGGGTCTTTGACCGCGAGACAGAAAAGTGCAGCGGCTCTTAGTTCCCCTGTGACAGGAGAGGGGCGGCGGACAGTCTCAGGTGTGTCGGTGAGGACGGAACCACGACCCGGCAGATGTTTCTCAGAACCTGCTCCAGGTAAAATGCCGCACCGGGGCCCTGCGGCCTTGTGCAAACTCTGCGGATTATTGGGCTCCGTGGAGCGGGTTGTTTGTGTGCAAAGCTCTGGTCAATTAAAGACGGTAGAAATAAAAGCAGTGCAGATTTTCAACATCAATTCCGCGCAAAATTAGAGAAAAAAAAAAAGGCCAGAAAACGAAAATTGCTGAGCTGCGGAGTTAATCTTAATTTGAAAACCTAATCAGACGAAACCAATTATCCAATCATTGTCGTTCTTTATTTTATTTATTTTTTATTAAGTTTGATTAAGTTTAATATTAAAACCAGCAATTGCTTCCATATGTTTTACGCAGAATTACATGTATTCTTTTCTCTTTTTAAACACAATCGGTGTCGGCGCGTTTCGACTTAAATCCGGATTCATTTGGAGTCAGTGAAAGGAACCAAAGCTCTTCTAGGCTGCAAAAGTCATTCAGACTGATTGGAATTTGGTTTGGGTTTTTAATTTTATTTTTTAAGACACATTTGGTATTAAAAGCATGAATGTTAACTGGTGTTTGAGCGCAAACATGGAAGAAAAAGCCAAATGTGTTGGAAAGCGCAGCTATGGCGGAGGCCTGTGCGCAGCGGGGGGAGGTGGGCGTGCGCAAACCGAGCAGCTTTGTTTGGGCCTCACAGAGAGCAGAAGAGCTTCTTCTGGACCCAGGAGGCTGGAATGGTCCCGGTACCATGTGATCCAACGAGTCTGGAGAGCGTTCGGCGTCTGTAATCCGGATTATTCTCCGTTTCATGGAGGTTCAGCGGGGCTGTTCTGCAGGGAAACCAGATCTGGGTCACGGTGAGGAAGTCACCGTTTGCTCCACTGACCTGAAACTTTCAAATGCGTTTTTTAATCCAGTTTGCAACTCAATCGGTTTTAATCCCAAAATTTCCGTTTATTCTTTATAGATTCGACGTTTAAGACGCGTTACCTGCAAAAAAGGCCGAATTTGTTGTTCGGAAAAATTTGAATAATGACAAATTTGGGGGTTTTAGTTTTATTCTGGCTCCGACTTTTACGGTGGCTGAGAAGTGCAAAACACATTTACAATTCAAAAACACATTAACAAATTAAAAACAAAATAACATTTGAAGAAACAAAATTATATTTTATGAAACAAATGTATTTTTGAAAAAAAAAGTTTAAATTTTTAAAAACACATTTGCAATTCAAAAACACATTAACAAATAAAAAACAAAATAACATTTGAAGAAACAAAATTATATTTTATGAAACAATTTATTTTTGGAAAAAAAAGTTTAAATTTTTAAAAACATATTTACATTTAAGGAAAAATTCACATTTTAAATAAGTTAGATTTTAGGTGAGAGAAAGTTTCATTTTAGAGAAAAAAAATACATTATAGGGAAACAAATTTACATCTAAAAAAAAATCGACCGTTCGGAAACACTTGTACAAGTGCAAAGACAAAACTGCAAGTGGCAAAACACAGTTACATAGCCAAAAACAAATTAACAAAAGACGGCTACACGGAAAGGGAATGTCCCAGTGGCCGGATGTGACGTCACGATTACCCTGACTTGTAGTACAAACAGCTCAATCTGTAGTCCTCCTGCTTCACGTGAAAAGTCAGCGGCGATTTTAGATGGAAAGAATTGCACTGAAGCTGTTTTTCTTAAGTTTACGCTAACCGAACAATGTTTTCAGCCAATTTACACCATTTTGTTCTTCGTGCGGACGGTCTCTGGAACTTTTACGGGACACGGTACAAGGTGGCAGGACCAAGCAGGAGGGCCGAGCTCAATTCGTGGCAGTGGCTGCGGCAGAGCCTGCCATCGGAGAGGCCGATGGTGGCCGCTGCCGGCAGAGCTTGCCATCGGAGAGGCCGATGGTGGCCGCTGCCGGCAGAGCCTGCCATCGGAGAGGCCGATGGTGGCCGCTGCCGGCAGAGCCTGCCATCGGAGAGGCCGATGGTGGCCGCTGCCGGCAGAGCCTGCCATCGGAGAGGCCGATGGTGGCCGCTGCCGGCAGAGCCTGCCATCGGAGAGGCCGATGGTGGCCGCTGCCGGCAGAGCCTGCCATCGGAGAGGCCGATGGTGGCCGCTGCCGGCAGAGCCTGCCATCGGAGAGGCCGATGGTGGCCGCTGCCGGCAGAGCCTGCCATCGGAGAGGCCGATGGTGGCTGCTGCCGGCCGAGGCCACTTATTCGCAGATAAAGTACTCCGTTCCATCAAGTAAATGTGACATTATAAGTTTTAATGCAGTTTATTAAGCAATAACATCACAATAAAAAGAAACCCATAAAGAATACATTTTAATACAGGTTATTAAGCGATAACATCACAATATATAGCCTATATATATATATATATATATCTATATAAAACAATCTAGTTAGAAGTACTATAAATAAGGCATTTGCCGAAAAACGGGAGGAAAAATACCCAAAAAATAATTAAATACCAAAGAAAAGTAATTAAAAAACTACATGACAAAATAATAGTGGCTCCGGCCAGTAATACGCCCGGCCCTGCTGCTTGGTCCTGCCACCTTGTACCGTGTCCCGTAAAAGTTCCAGAGACCGTCCGCACGAAGAACAAAATGGTGTAAATTGGCTGAAAACATTGTTCGGTTAGCGTAAACTTAAGAAAAACAGCTTCAGTGCAATTCTTTCCATCTAAAATCGCCGCTGACTTTTCACGTGAAGCAGGAGGACTACAGCTTGAGCTGTTTGTACTACAAGTCAGGGTAATCGTGACGTCACATCCGGCCACTGGGACATTCCCTTTCCGTGTAGCCGTCTTTTGTTAATTTGCTTTTGGCTATGTAAATGTGTTTTGCCACTTGCAGTTTTGTCTTTGCACTTGTACAAGTGTTTCCGAACGGTCAATTTTTTTTTAGATGTAAATTTGTTTCCCTATGATGTATTTTTTTTCTCTAAAATGAAACTTTCTCTCACCTAAAATCTAACTGATTTAAAATGTGAATTTGTTTCCTTAAATGTAAATGTGTTTTTGAAAATTTAAACTTTTTTTTTTCAAAAATTGTTTCATAAAATATAATTTTGTTTCTTCAAATGTTATTTTGTTTTTTATTTGTTAATGTGTTTTTGAATTGTAAATGTGTTTTTAAAAATTAAAACTTTTTTTTTCAAAAATACATTTGTTTCATAAAATATAATTTTGTTTCTTCAAATGTTATTTTGTTTATTTGTTAATGTAAATTTGTTTGCTAAAATGTACATTTGTTTTTAAAAATTTAAACTTTTTTTTCAAAAATACATTTGTTTCACAAAATATAATTTTGTTTCTTCAAATGTTATTTTGTTTTTTATTTGTTAATGTGTTTTTGAATTGTAAATGTGTTTTGCACTTCTCAGCCACCGTAGACTTTGTTTGGAAAATAAATAATAATCCCAGTTTGGGAGGAAACTATTAAAGAGGCGATCAAAAGGCTTGAATATAAACCAAAACAATTTCACACGTGGTTATAAATCCTGTTTGATCATTCAGATTAATCTTTTTAAGTATTTGTTTTGGGACCAAATGTGTTTTTAGTTTTAGTTTAAAACATAATTTTAAACTTTTTCCCTCTGGTCACAACTTGAAAACCTCCACAAACTTTTTGAAAATAAATAAAGAGAGAAAACTAATTGAATTGGATCTTAAAACTCTGTGGAGTCTTAATTGGATTCTGGGTCTAATCTTTTATTTTTTTATCATTTTCTGGTGAAAGGCCTGAATCGGGGGGACTAGTTGTGACATCTTACAAAAAATATATGTATTTTAATATTAATGAATATTTTATATACATTATTGTGCTAGTTTGTTTTTATTAAAAATAGTATTACAGTGTTAGTTTTGGCTGCAGAACAATTAAAGATCGACTGATTATATTTTGGCAGCTTTTTTTCCCCTACTGAAGTTACAATTACTTCTCAATACTCGAGTACTGAGTATTTGTTGGCTCTAGGGCGGAAACAATGAATTGGATAAATCAATTATTGAAATAATTGTTGAAAGTTAACAACTGATTTTGAAATTAAGTGACAATTATTTTAATAATCGATTGATGATGATTAATTGTTTCTGCCATGCCGAGCACTTTTGAAGGATTTGCACTATCAACTTGTAAATACATTTGGTTATTGTGGCAACCATGTGACCGTCTTCTTTTAGAGCCTTGTTCCAAATTATTGCTTAAATATTCTTTAAATAGAGAAGAGAAATGGTTAATAGCAAGATGATTACTGTAAACAACTTTTTTTCTGCCTCCAAGCATTTCATGTAATGTTTCTAAATACATACCTCATTTGCTGAAAGCATAAATTAGAGATTTAAAAGATAATTTGGAAAAAAGAACTGTTTATATAAACATGTCTGGTATACTGCAAATATTGAAATTCAAGTACTTTAGATTTTTCTTGGGGAACATTTTTTATTTGATTTGAGTAGATGAGACAATGTTCTAAAGGAATAAGATGATTTTTATCTTAAATAAGAAAAAAAACACAAGTCATTATCTGATATTAATATCCATCTGATTTTGTTTTTATGTATTTTAAGAGTAAAAATACGAATATCATTTGCAGATAATCATAATTACCTTCTGAAATTAAGGGTGAATACACCTGAGAATTATTTCACTATTTTTTTTTCTTTATTCGATCTTGCAGTATGCATCAATATATAAATATGGCCGCATATTTTAAAGTCATAATCTAATATTTTATATTGAAATTATCTTTAAATTCGTTTTTACTCATTTTTAGGAGAGGGAAAAAATAAGTGGAGCTCATTTAGACCCTTAGGAACTTTTTTTTCTTTTTACTTCCTATGATGTGCATGAGAGCTTAATTTGTGCTAATGTAGCATTAGCAATCACACAGGGTTCATTCACCATCCTTTCCGGCTCTCTTATACAAGAGATAACAAGTTGCAACACTTACAGACTGGAGGAGGGTCCCTTAATGTTAGAATCGCCCCTTTTGGTTGAACAGAGACGGCAGTGGAGATAG